CCCCTGTTGGGTGTAGCTCCCACGGAGACTGAGAAAGACCTAAACCCAGGGTAATGTCACAGTCTCCTGATATAAGGCAGTTCTTCAGTGTGAAGACTGCTCTGCAGATCATCTTACTTCCTAAAAACTGTAATCCTGTCCTCTAGGCCCTTTCTGATGGAGGGGCTCGACTCCACTGAGCTCACATTGTGCTGCGAGAGCAATGCCTGGGTGGATGTTCCAGCTCGATACGTGTGGGCACCCCTTGCTGTGGAAGCAAGCCCGGGCTGTAAATGTGAGCAGATGCAGAGCGTTCCCATCAGTTAATTCACATGTGGCTCATGAAAGCTTCAGCAAGTCGAATGTAAACTCTTACTGCTCGACTGGTGATCAGACATGTGGTTTCTGTTGCGTACCTGATGCTGGTGGGTTTGATTGGCCTGTTTCTGCCTAAATTGTTGGGTTTGATTTGCAGATAATGGGTAGCTAAAAGGAAGTTCACAGATGCAGCAGCAGTTTTGATTGTTCCACAGTTATACTTAGTCCCTGCTTGGTGCTTTGCAGTGCTTTTCAAGCCTTAATTAGCCCTTACATGTTTGGCAGGAGGTAGGGCAGGTATTCTCCACCTTTGATCAGCCCTCATGGCCTCCCTTTAAACTATATGCTGGGAAGAAAGCTGTTCCATTTCCTCCTCAGGCGCACACCTGTGGGATGCTGGGGGAGAGCAGGGTCGTGGTTCACGTGCAGAGGAGCCCCATCTGCTCCTCATGGGTTCTCCACTCGCCTCACGTGGAGGTTTTCACCTTGACAGTCCTCGTTCAGGTTGTGATCAGCACCTCATACCTGTCACTTCCTGGCCAGTCTTCATCCGTGTTCTTCAGGGATAGCACTACCCTTAATTCCCATGAAGGGCCTCCCGAGACTGTATGGCTTGACTGGTCTTGCTCCTCCAGACTGGCATTAAAGCCCATTGGGGTGGGGTGTGTTCGGTGCCACCTCCTCCGTGGGGAGTGCTCCATTCAGCACCTTTCCCGAGCGGAACGTCACTTAATGGGGTGGTTGTTGGTCATTTCTGTGGCAGCGTTCGCAAGCGAGCGGGTGGATGCTCATTCCTCTGGGTGGGTGGAAGTGGGAACAGAGCAGCCTTGTTGCCAACGTTGAGGTCTCCATTCTTCTCATGCACAAAAGAGCAAATACACTTGTAGCTCGGGACGGGGTGGTACAAGCCCTCCTTCAGCTCAAGAAAAGATGAACCTTTGTATTGCTACCATGAGCTGCTGCTTCTGGTGCTGGTCCCTCAGGGCTGAAACTCCAGGCTGTCACAAGAGCTGCCATGAAGTCCTCCCGTTAGAGATGCCCCTGGACAGCCTCTGTGTTCTGCCTGAGGTCCCAGTTCTTCCCACCGCTCCCAGTGCAGGGTTGCTCCTTCCCGTTCAGGATGGCCATGGGCTCTCACTGGGCAGTGTAGGAGCTGGTGTGGAGTCCAGAGCTCTGTCCTGCCCTTTTGGCCATCGGTGAAGTGACCTTGCGTCTCCTGATCGACGTGTATCTCCACTCCAAGCCAGCTTTGCAGCAGGATCATAGCACACAGGGCCTTAGATATGTGGAGACAGGTAGAAGCTCAGACATGGAATCCTGCTTAAGTCATCGCTACCATTACTTTCAGAAGGGTTTCTTTTAGGGAGTTTCTTGGTTTCTACTTTAAAACTCCCTCAGAGAGAGTACAATGAGGCTGAAACCAGTAATTCAGCGAGGGGAGTGTCGGCAAGAGTCAAAAGTGACAGAGTGGGTTTTGATTCCATTTCCTTTAGAAGCTGCTTCCCCTTTGATTATATCCCTCACATTACAATGTGCAGATCTGGAAAGGTGATTATTTTTTAACGTCTCTCAAAATAAGCAGCATGTCAAGCAAATATTATCACCTTTATAAACGGTGCCTGTATATTGTAATAAACGTGCTACGATACGTATAGCACCATCTTTTGACAGCTGAGCTGTTGGACGTGGTCTCACAAGCTCTGTCCTGATGCGATGGAGCAAAGTGTGAGCAGGAAGGAAGGAAGATGCTGCTGTAGTGAAGAATTAACATGCCAGCATGCACAGGGGGGCCAGGATCCTTCCTCCATGTCCTCTGTCCTGGCAAGTACCAGGGACACAGCAGCAAAGTCCTGATGCCTCGTTTGCTCTCTGCGTGGTTGTGGAGGGGAAGGAGGTTTGGTCTTGTCATTCCCGTGACGGCCGAGGCTGCCGTGGTGGTTCTTGCTATTGCGGTAGACGTTGCTAGCTGCAGGAAGAAGGCAGCCATGCAGTTTGCAATTGCTTCAAAGCTGCTGCAGAAGAAAGGAAACGTCAACAAGAGCCTTGTAGAGAACACACAGCCTGCGGTTCTTCACGTACCCAGCGTTGAGGGGAATGTTTTAAACTAATGTTTAAACTGACACAAAGACAGCCCAGCAGGGAAGCGAGGTTTGCCTTCCACTTTGTCAAACACAGGGAAGGGAAGCTAAGCAACTCCGAGCTGTGCTTTAGTGAGCGTGTTACTAATCCCCAGTGCAATTCATGTATTTAATGGCCTTACTTGCTAAAAACATGAAAGGCTTTCTCAATTCAAGCAATATTTTTCACTTTAATTAATCATCCCGGAAACTTGTCTCTTTGTTCAGTTTGAGCAAATCCAACTTTTCTCCTTGTCTCCCTGCAGATTAGGAAAGGCTTTGTGGATTAGAGCATGAAATGCAATCGAGCCTTGTTGGTGTTACTCACAGAGTATCACAGTGATGGGCTGTGCTCAGGTGGCACTGCCCTTCCTTCTCTTTCGCAGATGCTCTGCCTGCGGTGCTATGAGCTGGAGTCTCTCCCTGCTAATAGGAATGTGTATAAAACTCACATAATCATTAATATTGAAGAATCATTAAGGTTGATAAAAGCAGCTCTGGCTGCGATTATGTTGTTCTTCATGGTCACTGCTTGTGGAAAACATGATATACAAACATCAGCTCAGCTGCTTTTTAAAGCCCACCAGTTGATCTAGTGGCTGCTTGACTCCATCTATTGCACACTCAGAGATAGCCACAGTCAGATGCTCATTTTGCAAGCCTGCAGGAATAAATGGATTTCTAGAGGCTGTCTCTGCTGCCCTTATCCCTTTTCCACAGCCCCTGTTTTTGATGCAGACAGCATCCGAAAGGCAGCAATCTGTAGCTGAGCACTAAAGTCTTGGTTGGCTTTTTATTAAAGCAGTGATGTGCTGACTGGCTGAAAAGTGTCAAAACTGCAATCTTGTAGCATCAACAAAATAAGGCAGGATGCCTTTCTTATGGAGAGCAATGCTGAAAGCATAAATGAGCCCTGCAGGAAGCCAGCAGATCTGAGCACTTCTGCTATGGGAAAAGTATCCACAGTTCCCTTTTTCCCCTTAATAAGAAAAGACCAAAGTCCAAAGGTTCAAGACTTGACTCGCCTTTGCCTTCCTCTCCCCTCTGCAGTAGTTCCTCGACAGTGCATCCAGCTGGGTTTCCCCTCTCAAGCAGAACTGGATTTGAAGTGACACCGAAGGTATTATAGGAGCGAGCATGCAGTGAAAGGCTGGGGGAGTTTGGGGTAGTGGTTTAAAGCCTGTTAGTGAGCAGAAGGAACTGGCCTGCAGCAAATAGAAACATGCCCAGGGAAAACCCCAGGCATGAGCGGGGCGTCTGAGTCTTTGCGGCTGCCGTGGGAAGAGAGATGATGGGGACAGAGCCCGTGCAAGAAACGAAACCTGAACCTCATCCAAGCGACTTCCAAGAGGCTCAGCTCTGACTGTCAGGGGGTGGTAGGAACGTGGCTGCAAACGAGCTGTGTGTGTGGGCCCGCACGTGCAGCCTGTGACAGCAACACAGAGGCAGCTTCACGCTGCGTCCCTGGTGCGGTACATGTGCGGAGGGATGACTGATGAGGATTCCAAACTGGGATCCTCCACGTGAGCATTAGTGTTTGCAGTTACCCAGGAAAGCGATGGCCTTTGTAATTAAAGCACAAAGGGGTTTGAGGCACAAGGTGCTTCCTACCCTTTGCTTTCTCATGCTAGGAAGAGTTCTAGGGAACGTTAACAGAGATAAAACTCTAGCACTGAGATGTTCCAAAGCCAGGGCTGTCAACGTGTCTAATTTAACCTCAACTGCTCAAGACTGACTGTCTCCACAGCCAGTGTAGTTTTCGTGGCGTGCCGTGCCGTGCCACATCATTCTGTCTCACTGGAAGTTCTCCTGCAGCCTGTTGGTGTAAGACAATGCTTGGCATGCAGATGTTTTACATGAATGGTCCAAGTTCTTGGTTGGCATTTGCTTCATCTGCATGTGTCCCATTGCCATCTGCTGGAGAATGGTGAGTGTGCTCCTAGGGACTGTCGTGCCAGCCAGAGGAAGGGAACTGTCCCTGGGGCCACCCGCTCCCTGCTGAAGATCCATTGAGGTTAGTCCCTGGTCTCTGCTGCTGGTGAGGCTGTGTTCTGTGATACGCTTGTAGTGGGGAACCCTGGTCCATGGCATGTGCCCCACATAACAAACGCTGCATCAGGACAGAATGACCAAAGTCCTCTCTTGGATGCTCTTGCACAACAAAAGCACAATTCTCTCATCTATGCTTGTTAACTGGGTTAGAAAGAGGCTGATTTTAGGTTTACAGCTGAACAAAAGAGTAGGGGTGGAATTGCCGAACCACTTTGGTGCAGACAAGACTGGAAAGCGTGGCCAAGGCATGCAGCATGACTGGTGGCTTGAGGGGTGGACCTTGAGCTCTTCCTTGGGGGTATTCCTTCAGAAGCGTCAGGCCTTGGAAGCTCCAAAGCAGCCTATTTTGGATAGCAGAGCTCACTAGTCCTGTTAGAAGGTCTCAGCCTAGACCACAGCCAGTCTGGATCCCATCCAGACATCCCCAGTATTGGGACTGGAAGCTGCTGCTTGTCCCAACTCCTGCAGATTGATGCAGAGCTAAAAAAGGCTGCATGAATGGGGCTTCATCACACTGTTCTGTTTGCAATGCAGGAGGCCTTCGAGGAGCCACAGTGGTAGATGCCTTAGATACTCTGTACATCATGGAACTCGAGGAGGAATTCCAAGAAGCAAAGAAGTGGGTGGAGAAGAGCTTTGACTTGAATGTGGTGAGTCAGTTCCTGGGAATGCCTGTCTGTGTCACCAGAATTCTGTGTATTTATTTGGTCACTTCTGATCGCAGTGTTCTCAGAATCATCTGGGGAGGGGAACTGTGAAGTCTGTGGGGGAAGAAACCACTATCATGGTTCTTCTGCCTATACGCGGCCCAGGCTTCCAGCCAGGGGCCACCAGATCAGACTCACAGTGTCTACCTGAAAATGAGATTCAGTGTTTAATGTGTCTTGTGTTTTGGTCTGGGTTACAAAAGCAGCTGTAGATACTCCAAGGAAGTTTTATTCATCAAAGAACGAGTTCTGCTTCATCTCAGTTAAATGTCTGCCTGTGGTAAGGCAAGTTTTCCTTTTGCATTCTATAGATTAAGATGGAAAATGCTGATCTCATTGGCTCGGTGCTTTGCCAGTACGTCACTGCTGTGTGCACAGCAATGTGGAGTGTCTCCACAAGTATCCACGCTCCACAAGTGTCTCTGCTTGGAGCACTGGGTGCAGTTCTGGTGTCTTCAGCATAAGAAGGACATGGAGCTGTTGGAGCAAGTCCAGAGCTGAGCCACGAGGGTGGTCAGGGGCTGGAGCAGCTCCCGTATGGAGGCAGGCTCAGGCAGTTTGGGCT